TTGCTTTAGGACCTAAACCACCTTCACCATGCTCAAGATGGCACATGAGACTACCAAATCGAGCTATAACACTACACCACTCTTTAACCCAATCTCTCACAATAAATTGCTAACCATAGCAATGTCTAGCTGTTGGCAGACTTGGAAATTTCTAAGTTTTTGAGCTGAACTTGATTTCAATTTGCGATTTCTAAGCTAGTGAAAATATTAGCTAGTAATATCATTTTTTTACCTTAAGTATTTCATTGTCATCTACAAAGTTTGTACTTCAAACTTTATTTAAGGACCACATACATGTTCTATAGTATTTTTGTTTAATAAAAATTAGTTTTCAACCTTAAGTGATATAACATGACTATCGAATCAACTTTCATTTCGCATTTTTGTTGATTGTTTCAAGTTATAGAATTTGATCTACACACTTTATCACATGCATTAACACATAGACATGATGCTCATGACCTGTTTTAGTAGATGATTTATGGTGTAACACCGAGGGTGTTATAAGGGACCACCTCCTTCTCGATATCCTCTAGCTCGGCGTCGCGTCACATCGCCCCCTCTCCCCATGAAGATCATGCGCACGCTACCTCTAGCCGCTCCCTCGAAGGACGCGCCGGATGATGGTTCGCCCGAGAGATGGGCCGAGAACCGTCGTAGGTAAGGAAGGGATATGGGGCTAAAAATGCTCTAACGGCCCATTACGGCCCACGAGTTTGAAGGTTGGCCCACCGATGGGTTCACAACCGCTCTAGGGCACCTTTAGAGCGAGGGGTGGAAAAGGATGGGTCTGCTAGCGGCCAATACCCAAGCGCACGAGTGCTACGGGCATCCCGGCCCATGTTCGAGTCCTGGCCAGCGCGTTGTCCATGATTTTTCCTTGAAGAAAGGCAGCAAGCCCTTGGGACCGGATGAACGGATCCAAGAACTATATGGACTGGTCATTAGGAATCTGGAGTCGATCACTAGCTGACCCATGCCGGACCCCCACGAATGGGACGCCGGGGCCCCACTCGAACCAGCCCGTTAACAGCTAACCGAGCACAATGGTTCATCCACCAAGGAAAACATGGCACGGCTCGACCCCTTCGTTTTGTCGAGAAAATGCTTGAGGGGGAATGATTGCAAGACGAGGCGACCCCTCGATCGGACCCCGCAACGCGCAGGGGCTCAGGGGGTTATTGGACTCACGAAGAGACCAAATACGCGGTCGCGTGACAATGGCAAATTGATCGAGGCCTAAGAGGGGCTAGAATTAAGGAAAATTCTCTCTAGTCCCCAAAGAAATCCCACAGCTACACGCCCTTGAAAGAAGTCCGATCGCAACAGAAAGAGATCGTAACCCACCAAGGCGTCCTACGGGCAGTAGAAGATCGAAGCCCTCGAAGTCTCTCCATCCGAAAAAGCCTACGAAGGAGTATCCTACTCCTTCGCAGGCTTGGGGGCTATTGTCGGGTATAAGTATTAGGGATACCTGAAGAAGGGATCTAAGGACCGCGGACGACAACTCACCTAGATAATCAAGGACGTATTTCAGTCTCGACAGACCCCAAAGGGACGGTTTCTGCCTCGCCAGACCCCTCGGGCATGGGCCCCGTGTCGCACGACCCCGAGGGTATGGGAGCCGTCTCGCCTGACCCTGAGGGCATGGGCTCCGTCTCGCCCGACCCCTTGGGCGCGGACTTCGTCTCGCCCGACGGGGTCCGTACCACCCCCAACCACTACGGGTCCAAGCGTGTGGGCCTGGGTCAAACCTCTAACAATAGAGGGACGCGGATACGCCTTGACGTGACCTATGGCTACGACAGGCCATGCCCGGGGGTTCGCATTGCCATCAGTGATGGGTGCGTAGGCGCTATGCTGCCTAATCCCCATACGGCCGCTGACAAGCACGTCGGTTCACCACGCCGTCCGTCGGGACGGGATGAAATGCCACAACCAGCTGATGACGTCGAGGCATAGCACCAGTGGTGAACAGGAGCCCGACGTGGAGCCATCCCTGTCACCATCTACATCGTCGGCAGGACCCGCATGAAGGAGAAGAAGGACGCGGCGGTCCCAGAGGGCTTCTTCTCCTCGATTTTCTCCCTCTTCTCTTCTTCTCTTTTTCTGATGTAACCTGCATCTTCCCCTTCTTCTATAAAAGGAGAACACAACGCAACACAAACAGATGCACGAGCACACTGAGCAGATGAAAAAAACTCTCAGCACTTTTCAATCCTTCCATCAGATACCTGGGATCCGTTCTCTCTCTCGTCCATCTGTAACCCCTACTATAGACAGTGCCGTTAATACGAGCAGCAGCAGACTAGACGTAGGGACGTTCTGCCCGAACCAGTATAATCCTTGTGTCCTCTGAGCACACTATCCGGGCTAGACGCGCAAATTAGAAATTTACTAGCCGGTGATCCGAAACACCGACAGCTGTGCTTCTGGCAACAACAATGCTTTTTCTCTATAGTACGGGTTTATCTTAGTTTATCTTTTCGCTTGCATAGATACATCATTTTTAATTAAAACTAAAAAAAATACAGGTACCAAATCATTTGGTGCATGACTAAATTAGTTTGTTTATACTTTTTTTTACCAGTTTTCTAATATCTTTCTCTCTTGATAACGTTTACACACGTTGATTCCTTTGATTTATAAGAAACGAATAACCACACAAGCTTGAATCATTTGTTCTCTGATTGCGAAGGAATTGTTCAGCAGCTGGACAATATGTATAGTTTCCGTAATTTGAGTGGACAAACTCGCCTCTCTTCTCCGTGCATCTCCACCAACCAAACATGCAATCCGAAGGCGGCGAGTCATAAAATTTATTTGATTCACTTAAGGTTGGATTAAGCCCAATTAATAAATTTGATAAACATAGATAGTGATGTCCGAGAATCATACAGTAAACTATGCATTCTGTTGCAACGCCACGGGTATTTTTGCTAGTATAAATAAAGAGGAAAACAAATAAATGAGCAAAAACAGGCAATGTATGCCCAGTTGCCCACGTTGGCGCGCTAGAACAAACTGAACTCAGTCGTCGCACGTCATCATATATCTGAGTTGACAGCCCTGCAGTTGCGGCGGATCTCCCCGCGTCCGCCGGTGCGCACGCCGACGTGTCCCATCTTTTGCACGGCGTTCCTGAACTCCTGCAGGAAGTACCCGCGCCTGGTGAGGCGGTGGATCATGCCCGCGGCGCGGCGGTCGGTCAGCAGCGCGGCGTCGGACGCGAACAGGCCCCGCCCCAGCTTGAGGTTGACGTAGTAGTGCGCGTCGAACCGCCCCGCCGGGCTCCCCGGGTCCATGGCCACCGCCGTGACGTTGTTGGACGAGGCGACGCGCGCTGGACCGCACCGCGCGCGGAGCTGCGCCGCGTACGCCGCGTTCAGCGTCGGGTCAGCGCCGCCGCCGGAGGTGCCGAAGCCGGAGAGGCGCGACGCGAAGGTGTTGCAGTGGGCCACGCCGATCGTGTGCGCACCTGCATGCATGAGTGCACAAGATTGATTAATTGTTTGTACTGTGCTTTTTTTTTTTTGTGGGGGGGGGCGTTCGTGGAAACACAACCACTGTATGATGGTATGCAGGTCCTGGAACCTCAAACAATTAAGGAAAATTTTGCTGTGGCACACTCCAGTTATGTGAAATTTGCTGTGGGACATTGGAATATTTTTTCTTTGCTGTGGGACACTAATTTCTTTGCTGTGGCACACCGCCCAGTGTGTCTAGAGCAAAGAAAAAAAATACAGTGTCCCACAGCAATTTCACAAAATATTAGTGTCCTGTAGCAAAATCCTGTAGCAAAATCTCCCAACAATTAAATGGTCATGAGCCCAATCAAAGCCTCGCATTGCTGTTGCTGTTGCAGTACAGCTTGCTGCTAGGATAGGATATGCTTGGGCAGATTAGAGGATGTTAGTTAGGAGTGGCGGCCACTAGCATTTGTTGGCAGTTACCCGTTAGGGCGGCCGGTTGACGAGCTAGCTGGCTACCATCTCCAACCACCAGTGGCGGTTGCTACTGCTGGCCTGTGAAGAGATTCTTCCATGGTGACACGTTCCATTAAAAATCTTCAGTGCGTGGCTACCTTATTAATTAAGAAGAGTAGCTTCTATCATCAATCGAGTAATGTCATAGGATCGATCGCGATGCACAGAACGGGTTATATATAAGACCCCTTTCTTCCCTAAAAAAAGAAAAGAAAATGACATCTTGTTGACTCGTGGGAGAGTACGCGTGGTTAGCTAGTGCAATGTTAATAAGTGGCTGACCACCTTTTTCGTTAAAATCAAGGAGCAGGCTCGAGTTTGCTTTTGACTTGGAATATTGGATAATATTATGGCCATGTTTGGTTTTCCATGACTAAAATTTAGCTACTAAAATTAATAATTAAATTTTAGTCGTTTCTGTTTGGTTCTATTGACTAAAAGTGATTAAAGTCCATTAAAGCAGTTCAATAAAAACCAAACTATCCATAATAAATACATAAATCAGGGTGGGGGACCAGCAATAATGAAGGGCAGTCCTTGTTCACTGAACACTTTAGCTCACTTTTAGCTACTTTTGAGTGACTAATATGACTAAACTACTTTAGTCCCTTTTTAATCAGTTTTTTTAGTAATTTAGTAGCTAAGTTGACTAGGAGGAGAACCAAACAGACCCTGTATGCATGATCGTGCTGCAAATTAACGCAAGCATGCAACAAATCTGGTGGCTTGCATTGCCTCATTAAAAGAAAGTCTAATCTTTTGGCGGCACGCACCGGGCTAATAAAATTCAGCCTGGCCGATGGATAAATTTGCAGTGCGTCCGTACTACGTAGTGGTTCAGAATGTGACGAACTCCTGCTAGCAGATTTCAGTCAAATGGAAATCTCGCCGCCGCGAGCCGCTGCTCCTACTGCTGCTCCGTGTGCTCACCCCGCTGCTCCGCGCGCCTGCCCAGCTGTCACTCGCCGCCGACGTAAAGTAGACGCCCCACCGTGACACCGCGACACCATCCCCATGGCTATGCCTTCCACCGTCACTGCTGCTGCTTCTTTCTGCCTCGACTTCCCTCTCATCTTCTCCGCGCCGTCCTCCTCGTCATCATCCTCCAATACCCTTCGCTTCCTTCTTCACCGGCGCCGTGCCCGCTGCCCTCTCGCCGTTGCTACCTTCAAGAAGCTCTCAGAGGCGTCCCTCGTGCCCATCCCTCAGGAGCCCACGCAGCCCCTGGTCGACGAGGACGCCCTACCCCCAAAGCTCGGAGTCTACGGCGTCTACGACCCCACGGGGGAGCTGTAGTTCGTTAGGATTTCGCGCACAATGTCAGGGCCAACGTCAAGGCCGTACCGGGATATGATGCATTTTGCAAGTGTACATTTCAAATGTTTCAGATGTTTTAGAGATATGTTTCAAGTGTTTCATACGGATGTTGCAAAAACAGATCGAGATGTTGCACATGTTGCAATGGTTGTACACGTATGTTGCAAGTGTCTGTCCCTAATGTTTCATCTATTTTTTCTGACATATGTTGCAAGCGTGTTTATCTGAATGTTGCATATGTTTCACACATATGTTGCAAGTATTTTATCTAGACGTTGCTTATGTTTGCAATGATTTTCAATTGTTTTTGTAAGTGTTTCAGATGCATGTTTTAAGTGTTTCATCAGTCTTATTTGTATGTTGCAAGTGTTGTATCTAGATGTTTTAAAAGTAGATCTAGATGTTTCAAACGATAGGGGAAAACCGACTGCATCTAAGGGCGTCCGGGCGCTAGAAGTGCATAGTACAAGTGGCTCATCACCTTTTTGGTTAAAATCAAGGAGCAGTTTCGTGTTTGCTTCTGACTTGGAACAAAATGGATAATAATATATACTACGCCTCCTAACTAACTCGTTCCGTACGTGGAGCCTTGATGACACATATGACATGCAACCACGCATTATTGGCTCCCCTACACTAGCAGTACTACTTCAGCTTCTTTTTAGATACTTGATCGTTCTGCAAATTAAGGCAAGCATGCAACAAATCTGGTGGCTTGCCTTGCGTCATTAAAAGAAATCTAGTCTTTTGGCGGCACGCACCCGGCTAATAAAATTCAGCCTGGCCGATGATGGAAGAATTTGCAGTACGTGTACTGCGTGTGGTTAGTTGACTGTTATTATTAGCGTAGTGGTTCGGGATGTGACGAACTCCTGCTAGCAGATTTCAGTGTCAAATGGAGACCTCGAACGGTACGTACTCCTGATTTTATTTTTCATCAGTCGATCGTGTACGTAATTCTGTTCTGAATCATCGGTCATCATCCATGCATGCATCGCGCAGTGCCATGTGTATGTAGTACGTAGTGGAGTCGTAGGGAGACTACTACTGTGAGGTAGCTAGCTTATCACTTTTTTATCAGGAACGGACGGCCACGCATGATCGGCGCACGAATTCATGAGCAGTCCCGGCCGGTGCCGGTGCACCGACACGCATCACGAGAGCCAGTGGCTGTGCTGTGGTGCGCGTGGTGGTTGCCCCATCGTTTTCGCCTCATCTACGACCGGACATCTAGCTACACTTTGGGCACGGCCTCATGGCATCATCGTGGCATCCACCTGCAATGCAAGCCGCGTATCTATCACCAGCACGGTACGGGCTCCGGTGCACTCTGCCACCACCGTACTGTACTCATCGGGGCCGGTAAAATTTTAGGCCCTGTATCAAACTGTAAAACGAGGCTTTATCCTTTGATAGAAAGGACTACAATAATTATCAATTCTACATGCATATCTTATATACATATTAACCTTAGAACACTAGCCGTAATCATACGAAGGAGAGATAGTTATAGTTCACATAATGATTGCCTGGAAAAAAAGTTCATATAATGATACGAAGGATAGTAAATTCAAATCGAAGGAAAAGATTAAAATGACCTAGGACCTTTTTTGTAACAGTCCTGACTCATGCATGTTCTAGTGCTAATTCATCACGAAAGTTAACGGCATGGGCTTGAATTTATCCCCTATAGCTACGTATATAGGTGGCAGTCACTAGCAGTTTGCAAACACCTGGTGATGAACTCAAGATGGAGTGACGGTTGGTAGCCAGTAAATCCAACAAAATTTGGGGCCCATGGTAATTAGAGGCCCTGTTCCCTCGCACCGTTTGCACGCCCCTCGGCACGGCCCTGTACTCATCGTGTGTGTAGTATTTTTTATTTGTAATAACAACATTTTAATTTGATCTGATCTGTCAATATGTACCGGTTCGCTTATCTTATAAACCTTTTTTTTAGCTTATTTTTCAGTTAGAACACAAATTAGACGGAATAATATTTTAACTCGTTTTTTCGAGCGAAGCCAACGTGGCTTAGGCAAGCAAACTACAGATATTGGCGTTTTGTGAGTGGATTTCTGGGCCGCCTATGTGGTGCATTGGTATGCACGCAAGTCTCATGCATCATCTTGCAGCTGCACTAGTAGCTGCTACTTAGACGGTGTTTAGTTGGGAAAGTTTGCTGCAAACTTTGCATAGTGAAGATTTTCTACTGTAGCATTTTGTTTGTATTTGTGAATTATTGTTCAAACATTGATTAATTAGGCTCAAAAAATTCGTCTCGCAAAGTTAAAGTAAACTGTGCAATTAGTTTTGATTTCGTCTACATTTAGTACTCCATGCATGCATATACCGCAAATTTAATATGACGGAGAATCTTGTTTTTATATAGTGTACTTTTCAGGAGTTTGAATGAACCCAACAAGGGCTTACAGTAATTGGTACGTAGTGTATATATGCAGAACTATGCACATGTGAAAAGGAAATAAGGAATAATAACCGGACCGACGCGCACGTCAGCGTCACGCACGTAGCAGGAGTACCTGAGAGGATGACGAGGTCCTTGACGTCGAGGCCCTTGCCGCCGAAGTTGGCCTCCAGGGTGGTGAAGTTGTCCGACGGCGAGGGGATGTTGGCCAGCGCCTCCGACGCCCGCGACACCACGCCGTCGCGCCGCCCCAGCTGCACGTCCCACAGGTCCCGCCCGAACTGCATATATGCAACCACACGCACTGGCAGTCAGCCAGCAGCTCTAGAGCTAGCGTGTGCGGGCGTTCGCTCTACAGACGACGACATACCTGGAACGAGACGGCGTCCCTGGCGGCGAGCGCCACGATGTCGGCGCAGGAGACGGTGCCGGGGCAGATGGCCTCCAGCACGGCCTTCGCGGTGTCGATCACGTCGAAGCCGCCCAGCGACCCGTTCGGCGCCGCGTCCTTCTCCGCCGTGTTGCCCGCCGTCGAGTCGAGCAGCACCGACGCGTCGCATCCCTACCATCACATCATATCGACGATCCACTTCAGTTATACATGCATGCGCAGCAAAGCAGCCAACGTACTGACGATGGTCGCTTCTGTACCCTGACGAAGCAGTCGTGGAAGAAGAGGCGGAGCAGCTTGGCGGGGAGGGCGGCGGGGTCGGCGGCCACGCGCGCCACCACGATGTCGCGCACCACCGCCTCCGCCGCGGGGCAGCTGCGCTGGTAGAAGTGCGCTTTCAGCACCGCGCCGTCGCAGCCGCCGATGCCGCCGCCGGCGAGCACCAGCATCCCCACGACCGCCAGGAGGCGGACAGCGCCGAGCAGTGGCGACGTCGGCGGCAGTGTCGGCATCATGCTGCAGCTCCGAGCCATTGGACGACTCGCTCGTGACGTGAGAGGGAGAGAGAGAAAGCGATTGGTGTGGGATGTGTCGAGTGATGGAATTAATGGAAGCCTGCCTAGGCTATATAATATTGGGCAGGGGCAGAGCGATTTCTTATTTCGTTAGCACCAAATCAGTCAGTCCATAAATTAATGAGAGCGAGGTTACATGCTACGTGCACAAGTTCTTTTCAGCATTTATTTTCGTTGTTAATTTACTATTTTTTAGTCGCAAAAAGAATACTTTTTTTTCATTTTGTTAGCACGAGGCCTAATTAATGGCATCAATGCTACAGAATAAAATCCAGGATCGACGAAGGGAGAAGATAGAACAAAAAGATGGAGGCGCATATTATTTTTAACTCTACCCATTTCATCATTGTGTTATTTGACAATCTTATATATCTTACAAAGGTAATCGAGTTTGATGATTCGACAAAGAAAGATATCAACAGAAAAAAAAATTAAGCACACTACAGCGAGTTGATATAAAGCCTTCAAAATCATAATGCTTCTGGTCTCTGCCAGATAAGATAAGAAGCACACAACCATAAAAATTAGAAAACCAACACACTAACCATCCATGTGCCTAGAAAAAAAACCCTTAGCTGTCCATACTGAATGCTGTGAGAAGCTGTCATAACTAAATTCCATGTATCCAGCTTCACTATTTATACTCAGATTTAGAGAATTTTACTACTACACGAGTACACGACGACTTTTTCAAAAGAGATTTACAGTATATACAATAATATATACAGAAATGCTATATCATATCTATATGTTTTGTGGTTTATTGGCACTTGAATTTTCTGTCCGCCGTACGATGAATCGATGTCCGATTTGGTGCCGGTTGGTTTGTGACGCTGATTTGTAGGACCCACTCTAGACGTTACTTGCTGTTTCAAATTGGGAGCCGCACCTGTCCGTTTCTAGCTGCCTCATTTTCCGGTCTTCTTCTTCTTCTTCTTGTGACGCTCTCCCTGGTCACAGAGGTGATTCCATCAGTTTCTAGGATCGTTGCTTTTGCTTTTTCTTCCTCCGATTCCGTGAATTCATCGTTGTTTGGGTATGCTGGATCCGCATTATGCTAGGCCCTCCGGTGCCGCCAAGCCCTCCCATGTCCGTTGCATCACCAGCAACGACGACCACCGCGGCGAGGTGCTGCAGCCGACTCACCCATTCAAGTCCTCGCGGCTCGCCTCCGCCTCCACCTCCCACGTTACGCCACTGGCCCCGCGATGTTTCCTCTGCCCTCGCCCCCGCGCCCGGCTTCATGCTGCTTCGTACGCTATGCCCGACGTTGCGGCGGCCAAGAATGCCTCAGTATCCTGAACACCGGCGGCCACCGCGGTTGTGGTTGCTGTCTTTGGAGCAGCTAGGTTTAACTGATTTGAGGTTCGTTCTAGTGGAGTCGAATGCCGCGGATTTGAGCTGCTTAGGGTTGGGGATGGGGTTGGGGAATTTTAGTATCAATTTTGGTCCCCTGATTTTGATTTCCATCTGTTGTGTTGGCCTCTGTTCCCCTCAGTTTATTTGATCTGATAGGTTGCTTGTGGTTGCTTCACTAGTTCACTGCAGCCAGTTTACGATCTCTGTTCATGCTCTGTTTTTTTGTTTTCATTTCGTCAGATCTTGTTTTCTTAACTGAATGCAGAGCAAATAATGGTTGCTGTTTTATGGCACTTTAGTATGAATGGTGTGATAGCAGACTAGCATGGATATATAGGTCACTTTGTAAGTTGATTTTTCAGGACATGTGAACATTTCAGTGATACATGGTGTAGCGAACCGAAATGCAGATTAGGAGTGTAGCTTATCCACATGCTGAAATTTTCCCTTATAAATTTCTCAACGGGTTCAAATCAATATAGGTTCAGATTTGGTGCCTTGTGGTGTCTTCACATGCATTACCTTATACTTACCATTGGCTGTTGCTAAATCGAGTTTGAACATGTGTCTTGTAGTGCTATGGTTTTTCCTTATCTTAGTATCACATAGCATTGAATTGGAAGTGCAAGAGATCTGAACTAGTGTGTTTCTGTATCCTAGTTTATCTATGGTGTATTTCAGACTCTTGCCTTGCTGCTGAGGTCAGTGATGTTCTAATGGCATGAACATAGTAGAGGGTCTGTTTGCATATGCCTGTGTGTTTGTTACTGTATACCAAATCTACTCCTCCGTACTGGTCTGTTGTATTTGTTCAATTCAGCAAGTGCCAGGAAATCTCTTTCTTGATTCAATGCACAATATAATAATAAATCAGAGTTGACTGTCCATGACTGCATTATAGGTTTCTCTCCAGCCCCTTCCTGTGATTTGTGAGTACATTGATAGCAGTAGTCGTAGGATTGTATACTTATCCGGGATGTCTGAAACAACGACACTGGTTAACATGGAATAGGGACCTGCTACTTGTTAGCTGCATCCACCAATTATTGATTGGTTTGAACTCTTCTCTTCTACAACTCCAACCCAATGAGAAGCAGCAACAGACTGCTTCTTATTGGGCAACCAGTTGAACCCAGGAATGAGCATCCTTGTTGGTATCTCTGAAATCGGATTCTCTGTTTTTACTGGCTGACAGGGTTCATTGTGCAGACCTATATGGCCGAGGTAGTTAGATTTGTTTAGTCTTGGTCTGTGGCCTCATCTGCACAAGAGTGTTGAGGTGGCTGGCGGAATGAGAAAATTATTGAGCAGTCTTTTCCTCAAAAGGGAATTATGAGAGGTCAGGCCAATTTTCTAGATTTGGTGCAGCTTTTCCTCTGTATGAATCATTCTCAAATGAGATGGTGCTACTGCTACTGCACCTGTATAAATTTTCTGTATCATATTTGCTAACTGGAATTCTCTGTGGTGTTGTCTTTGTTTTCTTTACTAAATGCAGAGCAAACAAAACGATTGCCGTTTATGCCACCTTAGTATGAATCAAGTGCTAGTATCCTATTCTTCGTATATGTTTGCTAGATTTCTTTTTATGGGCAGCTTTATTAATTCAAGAGGAAACAAGCAATTCTAGAAAATAAACTTTTGTGTCAGGCACCTGAAAGGTCTTGAGATATTGTGCATTTGTGCTAACAGTCACACTGAACTTCGTTACTTTGTTATATTTCTGCAATCTAAAACCTATCATTCATTTCGTTGCTTCAGTTAATTGGCTGAATCTCTATTTTATAACTGAATCTCTGCTTTTAACTGAAACTCTATTTCTAACTGAAACTCATGTGTTTTTAACTGAAATTCTATTTATAAGCTAATTCATATTTTTCTAGGTAATGAAGACTTCAGTTCTGATGCTGAATCTGTCAATGGGGAGAATGATGATGATTTCGATATGAACTCTGAAGAAAACGACTTAGCTTTTTTGGATCCACGTTTGTCAGAGGACGAGATTGATGAAGCTGAACTAGTGAAGACTTGCAAGCATTTTAGACATGTTAGTTGTGTTTTATACTTGTTTTTTTTCCTTTTTTCCTTTTAATCTCTCCTTTTACATGGGGGCAACCTGCATTGTGTCATTTTTCTTGTGCATGGCTGGATGAGATGTGTGGGTCTTGTGGATGCAATGCTAGTGTGGTCCATGTTGTGTCTCCTTAACTTTGTACAGCTAGAGTACTTTTGTCATGGTCGAGCGTGCGTTGTGCAGGAAGTGCTAATTGTATGGGGAGAGACCAGCTGTTCCCGGTGGAGAAGGCGTTTGCAGTTCAGAGGTAGAGGGTTTCTTCACACACACACTTTGGTAGTTTGCAAAGCCCATTTTTTCTCTCCCCAAACAGATGGCTGGCCGTCGCCCGTGCTAATTACAATAACACTGACGGATATTTGTCTTGCTTTTGTGGCTGTGTCCCAGTTTGTCTTTCTATTTTGTTAATGCTGATAAACAAGTTATCCTTGTTGGCTTTTCCTGTGTTGTGCATGTCCGCTTCATTTCCCATTAAATTTTGTGTTTTTCCGTATTAATTTTTTAGCAAAAGACTTCTGATATGTTTTTGCTGGCACTAATACATCCTCTCTATCTGGAAAAGACTTAGTTCAGTAGCACAAGCTAATTGTACTGTTAGCAGGCACTACATGCATAAGCCAGATTTTGTCTTTATATACATATACAGTATAATTACATTAACATCAAGTAGTATTTGCACTATTCAAAATGTGCAATTTTCATATATGTGTTTTGTAATTTTTGAAGATCATATATAGTATAATTGCATTAACAGCAAGTTAATAGGTAGGGCTTTGCTTGCTTGTCTCAATTATATTTGTGGGATGCTTACAATTTCTGAGCGAGCTAGGAATGAGGACTAACTAGCAGTCTGCTTGTTTAGAGGCTTCGTAGTGCATAGCTAATTTGTTACAGTACTGGTTTTGGTAGAATGTTTATTGCACTTTGCACTCCTGGAACAGCAGAATTATCACCATCCTCCTTTTTCCTACTAAACAGGTTACACTTCAGTGTCACCCTTGTTATATTGCCGGTTGTCATCTGTCTTATCCTTGCACTTGTATGTGTGAAATCTGACCACTGAGAATCTCACTATATATGCATAGTCATAACTAAATTTTCATAGAAAAAAATTGTCTCTTGTGATTTGTGCTAACACACCTTGTCCTTTGTTTATTATGATTTGTGCCATCCCACACTAAATTTTTGTCCTTGTCATTTCATAGAAAAAAATTGTCTCTTGTGATTTGTGCTAACACACTTTGTCCTTTGTTTATTGTGATTTGTGCTAGCACACACCACATCTTTGTAACTTGTGCTTTGTGGCGACACGCAACTCAGTTTTGTCCTTGTCCTTTCATAGAAAAAAATCATTTATTGTGATTTGTGCTAGCACACACCACATCTTTGTTACTTGTGATTTGTCCCAACACACACCTCAAAAGTACAATCACTCTTGATTTGTGCTAACACAACTTGAAATCTGTTTATTGTGATTTGTGGCAACACAGACCCCATAAACTCACACTTACACTCTCTCTCAGTCTCTCTCTGTGTCCCTGCCCTACCAGCAGCTAGCCAGAGGATAGCCAGAGCTCTATCCTCTCTCACCACAACACCACAACACCAAGATTAGCGATGGATGGTCTGACGCTAAAAGCGGCTACAGCGACAGACAATCTGACGCTAAAAAGTTATAGCGACAGACTTCTGCAGACGCTGTAAGTCCTGACGCTAAAAATCGACAGTACTTTTAGCATCAAACAGTCTGTTGCCTAGAATTTTTTTAGCGACAGATAGTCTGCTACTACTCTTTAGCGACAGATAGCCTGCCAGTACTCTATAGCGACAGACAATTTGAAGTTACAAATGTTTTTAGCGATTGATGGTTTGACGAGATCATTTAAATGCATTTAAAAAAAATAAAAGGCCATTTGGTTGCAAATTAATACAAAAGTAACATCATTGTGCACATTTCTCATACAAATAGATTCATTCATGAACCTGAAACATAGATCCATGATCAGATAAAGTTACTATGCTTCAGTATGATGTATTATTACAAAAGTAGGAATCACTCCATTTTAGATGCATATAAACACTGCTTTCAAAAGAAGCAAAGTTACATGCCTGCAAGTCTATACTCTTTCACTACAAGATATAAATATTATTGATTTCGTCTAAGTAGTTGACTAGATGAAAAGCAAGGATGGCTTGTCATTTCTCCCGCTACTAAAAAATTCAGAACCTGAAACACATGGTTGAGCTGTTGCTGAATTGAAACAAGCCAATACCAAGTTGCCGAACAGAGCGAGATGAGCTGCTGCTATTTCAATTGATTTACTACAGTGCAATAACACAATGATAAATATAACTCGGTTACAAATTGCAACTTTCAACTTACAATGAGAGAATGAGATGACATAGTTTCACAAATATAATTCACATATTTAGTTTGCTTGAACACTAAAACTTTCAAACAAGTACTCATGATAGTCATAACTAAAGTAAGTGGCCATATGCTTAAATCTGATATAGAGGCTATTAACATGTGTTGCAATTGGTCCTATATAAACCATGAAAAAACAAGAACAGAGTAATGAACAAGAGTGCAGCCAACACTGATGTAAAAAAAGAATTGTAATACAGAAGTGAGTGGTGAAGAACAGTTGGCACCTACCTTTGCCCAAGCTATGCCGCACGCATTGCATAAAGTCCTACGACCCGCTGGTCCACGACGCATATGAGGCGTCGCATTTGCGCTGATGCCACAGCGTAGGCATCTGAACAGCTATAACACAGACCTTAGAAATTATCTTACTGCTGCACAGTGCAATATTTATTTGAATAAATAAACAAAAAGCAGCACTACTTTCGGATCACCCAGGCATGCTGTTGAAGTTCAATACAACTAGCAATCACTGAAATAGTGATATACCTTTCTGTTCATCTATTAAAAGATAATAAATAACATAAAAGACAAAATAGCAAGTCAACTATTGCGCTGCTTTATGCATAGGAATACGGCGGTCATTGAAAATTTATTGTTTTGGCAATCCTTTCAGACAAAATACACTAAATATGGTCATAGATCCCTCGGAATGCCACATCTCAATAGTGTATACAGAGATATTGGTTCCTTCAACCTCCCATCAGAGTGATGAGGAGGGAGCACCAACTGAATGAGCACTCAGATTACTAAAATGTTCATCACAGGGATATGCAGAAATTACATGCACAACATACAAGAGCCAAGAAAAAGGGAAACTGACATTCTGCCAACATGTCACAATGCAACTGCTGATTTGATCTAGTCTTACTTATATCAGCTATAAGCAAAACTTTCCGAAGCAAGCAAAATACATCTCAATTTATCAGCTTGATGAGAAACCTTTTCCCCATCTGTACATAGAGAACTTCCAAATGATAGGCCAGGAGTATATGCTCTATCATATCATGGCTAATTGCTACTGTAGAAAAAAGATGTCATTTAATCTTGACCCAATTGGACTATGATCAGATTAAGCTTACAAAACATCAAAGTATTTCTCAAGCAGTCATGCTAAGTGCACAAGAACCATCCAAATAGCATCAGACCATTACATTGTAGCAAAATGGAGGGCAAAACTCACGAACTTCTAAGAAAATACTGAAAAATGATGTTTGAAAAACAAGATACAAGGAAATAGAGCCAAGAGGAATGAGCTAGTATGGACAAATACTGCATTTCAGAGGCCATCTACAATCACAAAAATACGAATAAAAAACACATGAGTTTCATGTTTGCCATATCAATTTCAAATGAGCAACAATTATTATGTATGATGACAGTTGACCGTATGTCATAAACATACCTAGTCGACCAGTCCAAATAATACCTGCTACTACCATTGACCTGCTGCTCTATCTTGACGCAACTTGTCTCTCTCCTCTTTCATCTTGTTCGCAATCTCAATTACCTTCGGGTTAAATAAACGATCCATAACATATTTCTTTTCCTCTGCTTGTATTTCTTTTATGGCACTTGGGTATGGATTTGGAGGTGGCTTCTTTCCTTCACTTCGGGCAATTTCTTTCAGTTCCTTGTATGCTTTCTTCTTTGCTTTCTTCTGTGTCCGATACTCCATCTAGAAAAAGGATGGTGGTTATACAATAGATATATGTAATAAAACTGGTAGCATAACTTCAAATTTAAGTACATAGAGGCCCAGAATTGAATTTTCTGTTTAATGGTGTTTGATAAAAATAAACAAAAGGATTATATAGGAGAAAAATTACATCTGCTACAGCCATCGCATCATCTTCACGGACTCCTTGCTCTTTCAGCTCCAGGACACGCCAAGCAAAAACTCGAGCTGGTGGTGGATCAAATCCACTTATCCTGAAAAGGATGGATAAACAATACATCTTGTGTTCAAAGCGAGAAACACAAATAAATCAAGTCCAAGAAATAGAGACGAAATATTCCAGAGAATAGGATCAAAACAGTAATGCCATCAGTAGTCGGACCGAAAAAGAGTCATTTATCAAGCAGTAGCCTACAGATGGAAGCTGAAGATAGTCGCCAAGGTACCAAACTAATACTAGAATGTTCAAAAGAACAACGCTACTCAACAAATTCAAGAACCTCATTAATCTATTTGCAACTGTGCATCCTTCGTAATAATCAACTGTTTTCACTAATCCAACAATTATATAACAGCATTCATAAATTGCGTGATACTATCAGGCTTCAATGAGAAGGCCAAGCATGTCCCATATAAGGATGTACAATACAAATGGAACCCGTGCAAATCTCCAAACAGAAAAGCGGAATTAAAACATGAAAATTAAAACCACGAATACTATTTTAACTATACAGTGTTGCAGGATCACGTTTCTATAAGGAAATAACATAAGAAAAGAGAAGGATTTTACTTGATTGCATCATGGTAGAGCGAATCCGGATGTTTTTTTGTTGAACTTCCTAACATACACATCCTAAGGAAACTCGATCTTCTTGATCTTCCCCTCTGGGCGAGGAAATGTCACCGGCGGTGCCCTAATAAACAAGCGCCACTTGTTTCAGTAAACCAGAAAGCAGCATGATGAAAAAGAACAGAAATGTTACATGAGACAAATGATAAAGACACTTTTAAACAAGTCACTAAGCATACATAGACTCAGAAGTCATCTTCGGTTTATGCAAATATACAAATTTAGCACAACTGAACCAAACGAAGCAACATAACACATAGGAAACCAGCTGACGGCAATAGAAACTACAGTCAAGAATCACATCTATATGCAATACCATGGGGCTCAGGGTTTTATTTAGAGAACATATAGGAACCAGCACAGCGGTTTCAGCACAAAATCATGTCATTACTACTACATCACTATCACTACATTTAGAGTTGCAGAGATCACTTAAGTATGAATTTTCTGACCAGGCAGTTTGTGTTCTTCAGTCATTTAAAGGGCAAAAGGTCGCCATATCATGCTCCTTGCAAAGAATTCATACTAGCTCTTGTTATCTCATATAGTAGTAATTAGAAATTTTGATAACTGATTACAGACCAAGAGAAAAAAGATACAAATTCATACTAGCTCTTGTTATCTCATATATGCCGCAAGAATCTGCTCATGTACAATATGAATTAGCTTGAATAATCACCCAAGCAAGGAACTGATCATTAGCTAATGATTACATGAGAATTAATTCACCGTTTCACCTTGTAGCTTGAACATGACATTTCACCTATGTGAATCCACACTGCCCTGCATCTTGAGATAAAAATGCTGCTGCTCAAACCTGCAGAAAACAGAGCTAAGCTATGCAGTGCCAAATTGCTGCTTATGCTGCCCAACAGTGGTCTAGCTGATGGCTTCAGTTGCTCTGAACTGCAGAGATAAAATATCATGGAGGCAGTACATACCTTTCGACTCTGTAGGCTGCATCTTGGACCTTCCTATGCAATGTCGCTTCCTTCTTTCTAGAGAGTAGAAATTATCATCAATAAAATAACTGCAGATTAATATGTGTGTACTATACAAACAGTACAAAAAAATAATTCTACTTCTAAGAGAGTGGCCTCAGAAATTAATCACAGTCAGACCAACGTCTCTACAACAATCACAATCTCTGAAAAACTTAAACTATTGTCCTAGCTAGTTTACTCAGGAACCTTGAACATATGTTGATTGGTAATAATTTAATAAAAAACAGTAGTGACATTCAGATTTGAACGCCACACATCACAGGTACAAGTAAATCTATTAGTGAATCTGCTATCCCATTGCTATCACATTATGACTATCATTACAAATCTGAAGGCCTTTTGTTCTCCTCTCTTTTTTTATACATGTAAAGTGTCCAATGTCAATCAGCTCTCTTCCCTGTTCTCATGTAAGCATGAGTAAAACAATATGTTCCATCCAGGTTGGTTTGAAATATACTTAGATGGTTTTGCTATAACCTTGTGTATAGGTAGCATTCTAATTTAATCATTCTAACAGTTCATGTGGCTTTGTTTTCAAAGAATACAGTTCAGAGTTGAGAGTGCAGCCGGTGGTGTGTAAACTCGAAACTTTATCTTGAAAGCATACAAGAATAAAGGGGATATTCAAAGTTGTACTAATTATCGGGGAATTAAGTTGATGAGCCATACTATGAAGCTATGGGAGAGAGTTATCGAGCATCGCTTGAGAGCAATAACGCGGGTCTCTGTGAACCAATTTGGTTTCATGCTCGGAAGGTCAACCATGGAAGCCATTTTCTTAATAAGACAAGTTATGGAGCGGTATAGGGAGAAGAAGAAGGACATACACATGGTTTTTATTGACTTGAAGAAGGCTTATGATAAAATACCAATGAATGTTATGTGGTGGGCTTTGGACAAACATAAAGTCCCAACGAAGTACGTCGGGCTCATTAATGACATGTACAACAATGTTGTGACTAGAGTTTGAACAAGTGATGGAGACACGGATGACTTCCCGATTAGGATATGACTACATCAAGGGTCAGCTTTGAGCCCTTATTTGTTTGCTTTAGTGATGGATGAGGTCACAAGGGACATACAAGGGGACATCCCTTGGTGTATGCTTTTCGCGGACGATGTAGTGCTAGTTGATGAAAATCGGACAGGAGTGAATCAGAAACTGGAGTTATGGCGGGAGACTTTGGAGTCCAAAGGTTTTAGACTCAGCAGAACTAAAACTAAGTATATGAGATGTGACTTCGGCACTACTACTCGGGAGGAGGAAGATGTTAGTTTGGAAGGTCAAGTAGTGCCTAGGAAGGATACCTTTCGATATTTAGGATCAATGCTACAGAGGGACGGGGACATTGATGAAGATGTTAGCCATAGAATCAAAGCAGGGTGGATGAAGTGGCGGCAAGCGTCTGGTGTCCTATGTGACAAAAGGGTACCACAGAAGCTAAAAGGCAAGTTTTTATAGGACGGCGATTAGACCTGCTATGTTGTATGGTGCAGAATGTTGGCCTACGAAAAGACGACATGTTCAACAGCTAAGTGTCGCGGAAATGCGTATGTTGCGTTGGATTTGCGGTCATACAAGAAGGGATCGAGTTTGGAATGGTGATATACGTGATAGATTAGGGGTAGCACCAATTGAAGAAAAGCTTGTCCAACACCGGTTGAGATGGTTTGGACATGTGCAACGGAGACCCCTAGAGGCACCGGTGCGTAGTGGAATCCTAAGCCAGGATAGTAACGTGAAGAGAGGCAGAGGAAGACCGAAGTTGACTTGGGTAGAGGCAATAAAAGGAGACTTGAAAGGATGGAATATACCCAAAGACTTAGCCTTAGATAGGAGTGCTTGGAAGACAGCTATTCACGTGCCTGAACCTTGATTGCTTCTGATGGGTTTCAACTCTAGCCTACCCCAACTTGTTTGGGACTTAAAGGCTTTGTTGTTGTTGTTGTTGTTGTTGTATACAGGTCATTGTCTTTCCAAATTCTAGCCTCCAGCGGATTTCAAGTACAGAAATTTAAGATAATATACTGCTACTGAAACTAAGGGAAGAAAATGATAAATCTGTACTTGATATTTGCTTGCAAGCAAATTAAATGGCACTAAAGAGTCAAATGCAATTAGTAGTGAATAAGCACAAAAAAAGGAAGGGGCAGTATTGGTATTTGGTAATAAAGTTATACTAATCTGCAGTCCATTGCTCATGTATTAAGAAAATGTAAAGATCCCATGTGCAGTTAGTCTATAGGTCTATAGTTTACACAAGAGCAGAAGAAACAGAGCTCATGAAATCTAACTAGTACAGATCATAGTAGCAGGGAGTATTCATATGAATTCAGTAATGTGGGACATGTATATGCATTTGCTCGAAATTCAAAGAATGTGGAACCTGTATATATGCATTGGCTCGTAATTTAATTACAAGTTGAGAGCTACACCTTTCTTGAATGTTGATGTCGACACCTTGTTTCCCTACAAATCAAATCAAGCACTCTTTGCAATTCTACAAATGGTTTGTTCTCGAAAGAATGTACAAAGTAAATCTATTAAGAAATAAACAAATAGTAGAAAAAAGAATTAAATAGATAGCAAAGTAAATCAGCACTCCTTGCAATGCTACAAAGTCAAGATATGAACAAAGAATTAAAGATATAGCAGAACAACATGTGGCTCTTAACACAGGCCCAGATTGATCGAATATAACACGAAATCAAATAGAAAGGGAACAAACCTGTTCTTGATTTTCTTTGACAGGTTTCCATGTCATGTCTGCTGCTGCCCAAGCCATGCCTCGCTTCCTCCAAGCACATATGAGCATGTAAGTACAATTGTCAATAGGTTCATACACCAACCGAACATATGCTATAGGCTATTTATTTTCTTTAGCTCTTTGTAAGACTAGACAAATCAAACTCTGTTTTCAGCTTTAGAAAACAAAGTACAAATATCAATAAGCAAGTAAGACAACATTTGAACAAAGCACTCCATTCTCTTCTATGGTAAACTATCTACTCATCTACTCTTTCTTTACATCCTCACTACTACACACAAGTAATGAAACAGAACAACCCGAACAAGTAGTTCTGCATTTTCAGAAATCAATAGAGAATATTGTTAGTAACTACATAATTATTTTGTAGGTGGAGTCTGACAAAATACTGTTAACATACTACTACCTCCTGTCACATTCATTTGACCTTCAGGTTGACCTTCAGGTAGAGCTTACAAGCAAGGTTGTTACAATGTAGTTAGAATGTCTCACGCTACAGATCGGAGTTGGGAGAGAGAGAGGAGAAAAGCTCGCCGGAACCCTAGATCCAGGAGGAGGAGGGCCTACCTCATCGGGGTCACCGCGCCACTGGATCTGGCGCCATGCCACGCCGGGTTGCCGCACTGAGGCCTGTCTGTGGCACCGCTGCAGCGCTTTGGGGGTCATTTGTGCCAGCCACCGTGCCGAGGGCCTCCCGCCGCCGTCCATGGCGTGGCGGGCGTGGTGGGGCACAGGGAGGAGCGCGGTGGGGCGCGGGGAGGAGCGCGGTGGGGCGTCGTGGGTGGGCGTGGTGGGAGGCGGCGGGGCTGGATCCGGAGGGGAGGGGTGGCGCGGCGGCCGGATCCCAGGAAATCCGGGAGGGAGGGAGGGAGGGAGGGAGGCGGCGGGGAGGAGAGGGTGGGAGGGAGGCGGCGGCACCGGATCCGGTCCGAGGAGAGAGAGGGGGTGGCAGGGAAGGAGAGGGAGGGGCCGGCCGGATCCGGGGAGAGAGAGAGAGAGAGGGGGCAGCGGGGAAGGAGAGGGAGGGGCCGGCCGTCGGGGAAGAGAGGGCGACGTCGAGGAAGGAGAGGGAGGGGCCGGCCGCCGGTGGGGCGCAGGGAGGAGCGCGGTGGGATCTGGGGAGGGAGCGAGCTGGGGCGAGAGGGAGGGGAGGGTGGGAACGAGTGGGAGCTGGGGCGTGAGCCGGGGCGCGCAGGCAGGTGGGTTTCTGTACTCGTACTCATGGGCCACGCGAGCTCAATGTAAGTGGGCGCGTGAGCAAGGTGGGGCCCTTTTTTTAGCGACAGACGGATTGATGCTATACCTGTTTTCAGCGACAGATAGTTCGACATTAAAGATGATTACCTATAGCGATGTACTGTTAATCTCTAAATAGAGAATCAGCGTCAGATTGTCTGTAAGTTATCTTTAGCGTCAGATCATCCATCGATAAAAAAAATTTAGCGTCAGATGTCTGACGGTGATATGGTGTTGTGGTGTAGTGCACTCTCATAATTATTTATGCATCTGCTGTAAGATGGGACTTCACTAGACTATTTTCCTTATCATGTGATCTGTTTTGCAATGGAATTTGTGCAAAATAGCTCTATCCTCTTTCATTTTTTCTGTTTTGTGCATGATCTTATCACATTGTAATATACTGTGTTTACGCTTGAGTCAACTTCAGGAAAAGAATACGGTGTTTTGATTTGTTTTGTTTTTAATTTCAGGTGCCAGCTACTATCAGGTTTGCATTAGATGGAGAAATGCCGCCCTATTTACTTGTGAAGGATCTGATTTTGCAAGTAAGCTTACAAGATCTGATATAATATTTTTTAATACTAGAAATTGCACCAGTTGTAATGCGCAATTTTTTAATTATTGTTTTGTAATTTGTATTATGTTTTCATTTTTCTTAGTGTGTTTGACACCATGAATTGTAGTGTCTGTCCTGTTCTCTACCATTGCAGTAGGGGAAGAAACATGGAAGGAAATGTAAAGTAAGTCGTGAGGCAATATTTTGCTCATCTCTGTCATTGTAACGGATGTCTGATAGATTTGTGAACATAGAATTTGCAAATGCATTCTTTTCGCCCTGCATCTATTTGAACATATATATACTTCCTAGTCCGGTCTCAATTTTTCCCTGTTTGTTTACCTGCATTTAGAAACATATGATATGTCATTTGGATGAAGTTGGAGCATCATAAAG